CTAACACACTCACCTCGATCAGAAGCTCAGTCGCCAAGAACCCTTAATTATTCTTAGACTTGTAGAGGATGAAAGAGATTATATATAAAGTGACCTTTTCTTTTCTTCTTTACTTTGTTGGTGTGTTCTACCCATTAGCATGCATGCACTATTTATATAGTGCTCATAAGGCATGCTTTCATTCAATGAAGAGTTGTTCCATTAATGCCTTCATTAAGGCCAAATTAATGAAACTAGTAATGAAACCTTGAGTTTCATTCTCCATCTCAAAACCGAACACGGTTAATCGTTCTCATCACATTGAATTTGGACATTTCTACATGTAACATTAAACACACCATTATCTAAGGATTCCACATAATACAATTCTCCTATCACATGTAATATATGTTTATTACAACAAGAATAACATTCGATTTAAGTTTGAGCACACTATGATAGCACGTTACCACCGCTGAGCAATTTTGGTAATGTGATTGTGGACCGTCAATGGTTATAATTGATAAAAATCAGACTAATTAATCGGGTTACGATATGTTTATCGTATTATTGATCTCTATAAATCAGGGAGACATGATCAAACTCGTGTAAAGTTGGAAAGTGAATATGCATAAAACATAAATATGACATTGATATTATCGATTTGCTGTGAAGATCAACAAGAAGAATGGTACGCGATATGTTTAGAGATGATTTTTCGTACGTATCTTTTGGTATTATTGGCTATGTTTTGCTATAAGTCGAAGTGATCGGTATTTAAACACAAAAAAAATTAGAAACCAATAAATGTTCAGTGCTAGCTCGGGATGCAGTATGGCGCCGCAACTATCCATGCAAAAACTTATTTTGAAGATAAGACGGATTGGATGGTGGCCTTATCTATATCAGTTGACATTCAGATGAGGAGAGATCGTCAATCCTTCATCGAGAAGTTTCAGGGAATATTGACAATGATTGAGTTCTGTCGAGTAGAGGTTCGACAGACAGTGGCGGAGCTAGAAACAAAATTTAGGTGGGGCGAATCGCAGACAAAACTTTCTAACGACATCGTAACTAAGCACATCAATAGCTAATCTATGGCAAATTTAAGCATTGGTTGATGACAGTACCTCTCATTTGAAGATAGGAGTCCATTAATTCAAAAAAGTACCTCTCCCCGTTATTTCCTATTTTCTTTTGAGCTACGCTACAACGCCGGACGCCGCTGCTCCTTGGCTGAATCGCCGCTGAAGACGACGCCGGAAGGGGGGAAGATAGAGGGGTACTAGTGGTGATTCTCCGGCGGTAGCTGGGGCAGCCGCCCCACCCTGCCGTATGAGCAGCTCTGCCTCTGTCGACAGACCTAACATCATGTATTTGGTTGTTTGTACGTTTTAGGGGTCGCCTGTCGCTAGAGTTGACATAAGCCCCAACTTCTGACCTGGGCTTTATCTTTGATGGGGTGGGTCGTATCTTGGGAAATTTGGGCATTCTTGGTCCCTCTTTTTTTTCGCAAAATTGGTGTGTAATTGCATTTCCTTAAAATGATAATTTGTTTCTATAAAAAATTTTAAATATATTTTTTCTTATAAAAAAATCATATATAAATTGTAGCTTATGTTCCAATTATTAAAAAAAAAATAACCATTGGACCGACTCGGAATCGGCTGGCTATGAATCCCAGATAGTTCCACCGGGTTGATTCACAAGTTTGTAAACCATTTTTATCATATTTTGTAAGTAAGAAAAATATCTTTTTATATATATACTTTATCTTATCAATTAATTTGGTAATTTATAGTATTATTAAACCTAACAAGATATATAATTTTTTTTATGATCGTAAACTGTTTGAGCTTATCTCATCAAGGCTTTGAGTTTAGCTCGATTTGTTTGATAAATTAGTTGAGATAGAGCTTGTTTAAAATGCATTTAGTTAACGAGTCAAGGTTGAGTTGGTTTGGAATTAATTTATTAGATAAATGAGTTAATTTAAAAAAAAAAAAAGAAAAACAAATATAATTGAGTGGAGAGTTAAGTCGGATTTAATATAAAAGTATGAAATATATGATTGAATTTGATTACTAGTAAACAAATGTGTAGATAAATACTTAAATAGTGAATATTGTTAAAAATCATATGATAATGATTGATAGGCATTATTTTTAGATTAACAATATTATGAAAAATTAAGTTAGATTAAAGTAGAGTTGAATTTAAATTAAAAAATTATATCCAATCATGATTTTCGACAGGAGTAAATTATTCGTCCAACCAAGTATTAGAAGCTCGGGCTCGATAAAATCTCGTTTTATGGGTTCATTTTGGCTCAATAAAGGCTTGAGCTCGATCTCGAATATAAAGGACTTCATACTCGACTTGTTTACAACTAAAAAAAAACTGGAATTTAACTGTATATAGAGAAACTAAAATGTAATTTCATAATTTGTCTTCCCCAGCAAAAATCAGAATCACATTCCAGCAAAAAAAAAAAAAACAAAAATGGGAACATTGCCCATGTTAGCTTTAATTTATGAACAGCTTATAAATCTTTATGGCACATAATTATTATATACAACAAGAATTTCTGTACCTTTCCACTACCTCAGACTAGCAGTTGTACAAAAACCAGAGGAGCTCAAAAAACATCCAGTCATAATTTTGCTATTCTCTCTGTGAAAACCATCCAAGCTGTCAACAACAAAATAAAAAGAGTTCAATACGAACAGTTTTAAGCGCAGCTTAGATTGCGAAAATATTCAATTAGGATTAAAAACTGCGAACAAACTCCCTCGAGTTTCACTTATTTTTACAAAATTCCCTTATAAATCCAAATATGTCTTACAGATAAACTACGAACACACATGAGGTGGACCCGTTTGTGAAGTAGAAATAGATCCAGATGCAATTGTGATTTTCAGAGATCATTTGCATTTTATCTTTTTATTTTTCAACAACGCCGAATCTTGAGAGTGGTGTTTTCATTTGCATTTTATCTTTTTATTTTTCAACTACGCCGAATCTTGAGAGTGGTGTTTTTAATAATTATTATAAGTAATATAATGTTCATATGAAAATACAAATAGGTAGTACCTTCCAAGCGTACATCCCAAAAAAGGCTACGGTATCTGCAGACCAGACGACTGCAAACGATTTCAAGAAGAAGGGGATTACGACGTTAAGTAATGGAATGAGGAGGAATAGATAGTTGAGGGCCTCTTTCTCATTCTTTGAGCAATCCCTAGCACGGAGGGAAGGAATAGCTGGAAAAAAAAAAAAAAAATACCAGCAAAAATATTAGCAATCATAAATGGAGAACAAGCACCACAATGAAAATGGTTATGACTTCTACGTTCTAACTAACGACGAATAGGCTATCACGAGTATGGCTGCAAACGAGTGGAGTTGTACACGAGCGCTTGAGTCAATGCTCGACTCAATTCAATCGAGCAAACAAGTCGAGCCTCGAGCATCATTTCAATAGGCCTGTAAGCTCGACGAGCCGCTCGACTTTTTTTCTACATAAATACCCCATATAGTTTAATTATCTATATTAGAACACCAAGGCATTTAGATTAAAAATAGTACCTTTATAATTTAAAATTTAGTTGTTAAAATTTCGAGCCGAACTGGATCTATGTTGAGCATCGAGCATTCTTATTTTTTTTCACCAGTCGAGTTGAGTACTATTTTACATGGCTCTTCGAGCTCAAGCTCGAGCAATGAAGAAAAAAGTTCGATCTCAGCTCGACAAGGTCCATGCTCGACTCGACTCGTTTGCAGCCCTACTCACGAGCACGACTCATATGAAAAGGGTTATGACTTCTAAGTTCTAACTAACAACGAACATGCTGATAGCCGTAGGACATATTTCACGATACATTCGTGTTTTATAACAATAAGCACAAAACAATAATTTTTGGCAAAAATCGTACACACTATACCAGACCAAATCTTTTAGCAGCAACAAAACCCTTAAGCATTATCGTTAAATACGAATGGTCTATTTAGTACTTACTGAACATCCAGATGGACCACATGCCCATTAGTCTCCAAATGTCGGGTTCGTTTGATGGAAATATGAGATTGAACGAGAGAGCCCCACCTAGTAGTAGAGACACGTATCCTTGAACCTCAAAGACAGTGTATAAAACAGTGCCTGGCACAGCTGGGTTTTTGGTTGCGGTTGAAGCTCTCGGTGCAAAAGTTGCAGCCGTTTTTTGTACCACCTGTCACCAAGAGCAAATGTATTCAGGAAACTAAATAAAGAAAACATGGGTAAATCACGATAATTAATCTATCATGAGATTTAGAAGCTACAAAGGGTGGGAAAAAGGATAATTTGCTCGACTGAGAAAGGTACACACTATACAGTGCTGAAAACAATAATCATGCCAAATATTAGATTTTTAGCTCAGATCATAATATTTTATGATCTGTAATTAAGTTCTCATCGAAAATCTACGGCCACGCATGGAAAAAAAAAAAAAACTTTCCAACATTAGACGATTTACGTCTATCTTAGAAAATTCAACATCCCACGTCTTCGTATCTGACCATTACCTTTCAATAACGCGATAATCTCCATACAATATACGACATATTTTGATAAGGATAAAGTGAATACAAAACCTGAAGGCAAATTGCAAGAATTCTGAGGCAAGCCAGTTTCTACCTAGCTGAATACATTGGAAAATCAAGAATTACCAACACTCGCCAGTCTAGCACTGCATTTGCCACAAACTATTCAACATACATTATGAGCAGAGACAAAATTTTCCATATTCGACTCTCCGTTTGTTTGTCGGTAAGTATAAAGTGAATACAAAACCTGAAACAAAATTGCAAATATTCTGAGGCATGCTAGTTTCTACTTTGCTTAATACAATGGAAAATCAAGAATTTCTAACACTCTTACAGCCTTTACACTGCATTTACCACAAACAACATAAGATTCTATTCCGACTCTCCATTTGCAACAGTATAAGATTCAGGGACAGCGTACAAATAGAAAACGAGAGAACCCAAAAAAAAAAAAAAGGAACTCGCCTTTTTAAGATCTTTGTCGAGCGGAGGAATTGGCCCGCCGGAAACCTTTCCTGAATCCTTGACGGCGTCTAGATCTCGATCGGGCTGTTGAAGATCCTCACGGGGCCCGGGGTCTTCTGTTTTCGTGTCCAGCCCGTTTGAGCTTGCTCTTGTTCTGAAACCCTTGGATGGAGGTGCGGAGCTTCGGATTGAGAGGATTCTAGGGTTTGGGACTAATGGTTGGGGAAAGCTTGAGATTCTGCCATGGAGGGTAGAGGTTGAGGCGAGGGCGGCGTTCATGGTTGGTTTAACCGTCGTCGAGGTTTTGCAGTTGATATGTTTTGTGAGGTGGGAGACGAACTTTGCTAGTGGTCGTTTAGAGCTGTCGAAACGACGCCGTTACAGTCTATTTTTCTTTGCATCTATACTTTATAAAAAAAGTCATCACACTTAATATAATTAGTAAGAAGAAAAGTCACTCATAATTAATTTCACACCATATTTATTTTTTTTTAGATATTTTAAATCATAAAATAGGGTATCATTAAATGCCCCTAAAATTATGAATTTTGTTGAATTCGTTTTTAATAAAATCTGCATCCAAATTTACGTATGGTTTTGAAGTGAAAATTTAAAATTCAAAATCTCTTCTCATTTTAGTTACAAGAAAATTGGATTGCATTCAACACTTGGACCTATTTAAAAATTATTCCTTAAATGAAGGAATTTATCGATAATTGTTATATTTAATCAATCACATGATTATTTTCAATATAAAAAGAGACATATTACAAATTAGTGAATCATATAATATCCAATTCAATATCTTAAAATTAAAGAATAAATCCATAGTATTATGTAAATTCGTATCTCATATTATTATATCATTAAGAATATATTATAATTATATTATCAAATCATAAAAAGATATAGTTTTATAACAATTCTACTACACTATTTAACAATATTCCTTTTTATTATATAATAAAATAATAATTAAATATTATATGGTGAACAAGAATAAGTAAAACTATTAATTACTCTTCTATCACGGGATAAATTTATATGCTACAATTAAATTTTTATTAGTATAAATATTTTAGTGAGATAATATATTAGTTATTTTACAACGTAGCCCTAACATGCTCATATTTAATGTTCTGGCTAAAAAACAACGTTGGTTAAAAGATGTGAAAAAAGTAATCTTATTGTTTTAGACTTAACATTGATTAAGAGAGGTAGAAAATAGATAATAACTCTATTACTTTTTAGACTTAAACGGATAAGGGTGTGAAAATAACTCATTTAATATTTTTGTCTCGTGCATCGCACGAGGTACGTACTAGTTTATTATTAAAGGTAACCAAATAAACAATATTTTCCTTATAAACTAACCGAATAATCTATAAACTAGCTTATTTGTCTACCAAACATAGCCTAATATAGACTTAATTAAGTGATCCTAACAAGCCGTATTAAAATCCTAAATTGATCTAGTAGTCTAAAATGAAAAGGGAGACAATGACAATTACACAAATGGAACAAACATCTAATACAAATCTAAAAATATAAACTTACTATTGCAGAAGAAAAAAATTCTTGTTTGGTAGAATTTTTCAACCCTAATGTTCGCAGTTCACATAATATATGCTCTTGTTCTGTTTGTGGGTAACTGAGCAAGTGAAAAAAAGTTAATGAAAATATCATATGGTAATTTAAAGTTCAATGACACATAATATATTAGTTGTTGAGTGGTGTGTTAGGCAAAAGTAAATAGAGTAAATATATTTTAGGTGGGCTCATTTATTGGTTTAGTATTTTAGAGCTAAGTCAATAAAGTGAGTTAATGTTAGGTTAGTTGATTTTTTGGGTTGGACTAACGACACTATATAAAAATAAATTCAAAGTTTAAAAAATGAAAGACATGGGCTAATAAATTCAAAGTTTAAAAAATGAAAGACATGGGCTTCAGCCTTCAACTCAGCCCAGACCAATACTTTATCCGTCTCTACCCGTGCAAAATCTTGCCCTTGGAGGATATGGTTGATTATGTATCAATTTGCCTTTTCGATTCATGTCCATATTGCATAAGGGATAGTCAATCTTTGCAAGGAAGATAGATTGAGATCGACATTTTTAGCCCAAGCACGGAGACCGTTTTTGTGCGAGTGTTGGGTCGACAATGTCTTGATAGCGAGGTTCTCTCAGGCTTTTATCCCTCCCAGTTGGGTTGAATTATCGATAAGCCTGATCTCGTTCTATATGATCTAATGGGCTAACCCACAATGTACAATTTTATGTATAACATCAATCTTTTCAAAATCATAAAAAAAAGATCATGTATGCAATAAATAATTATTGTAACAACAAAGAAATATTTAAAGAGAACAAAAAAAAACTACAACACTTCAATAAATTGATATATTCAAAAAATTCAAATGTTTACCTTGAAGCTTTATTGTTTGATAAGTACGTTTCACACCTTTTGTTCAACGTATTCTTGTTGTTCGTCTGGTTAAATTCGACCATGTTAGTTTTTTCATCTCACCTTTTATTTTTCCTTAGAGCGCCCACAAATAAACGTATATTATCACTTGGCTTCATTGTCAACAATCTGCACCCTTTGGCCACCGCGAGGCAAACGTTGTGGTGGATTTTTTGGCTTCACTAGCGGCCAAGGGAACGAGTGGTCTGCACCGGTTTGATCGTTCTCCATTGGGGGCCGGTACATGGTTACAACATGATCTTATTGGAGTGGCTCACCCACGCCGGATCGTGATCGAGCGTTAGCGTTAGCTTCGCTTTCCCTTTCTTGTACAAAA